AATGATGCTAGGGTGTTAAGAGCATGTAGTCTAAATGATGCTGGGGTGTTAAGAGCATGTAGTCTAAATGATGCTGGGGTGTTAAGAGCATGAAGCCTAATTGATGCTGGGGTGTTAAGAGCATGTAGTCTAAATGATACTTGGGTGTTAAGAGCATGTAGTCTAAATTGATGCTGGGGTGGTAAGAGCATGTAGTCTTATAATGCTGGGGTGGTAAGAGCATGTAGTCTAATTGATGCTGGGGTGGTAAGAGCATGTAGTCTAAATGATACTTGGGTGTTAAGAGCATGTAGTCTAAATTGATGCTGGGGTGGTAAGCGCATGTTGTCTTAATGTTGCTAGGGCATGTTAAGGGCATGGATTCTATTGATGCTGGGAAGCTAAGAGCATGAAGTCTAAATAATACTGGGTGGTAAGAGCATGTAGTCTTATAATGCTGGGGTGGTAAGAGCATGTAGTCTAAATGATACTAGGGTGGTAAGAGCATGTAGTCTTATAATGCTGGGGTGGTAAGAGCATGTAGTCTATTGATACTGGGGTGGTAAGAGCATGTAGTCTTATAATGCTGGGGTGGTAAGAGCATGTATTCTAAATAATGCTAGGGTGTTAAGGGCATGTAGTCTAAATGATGCTAGGGTGTCAAGAGCATGTAGTCTAAATGATACTGGGTGGTAAGAGTATCTAGTCTAATTGATGCTGGGGTGTTAAGAGCATGTAGTTTTATAATGATGGGGTGGTAAGAGCATGTAGTCTAATGATACTGGGTGGTAAGAGTATGTAATCTAATTGATGCTGGGGTGTTAAGAGCATGTAGTCTAATTGATGCTGGGGTGTTAAGAGCATGTAGTCTAATTGATGCTGGGGTGATAAGAGCATGTAGTCTAATTGATGCTGGGGTGTTAAGAGCATGTAGTCTAAATGATGCTGGGGTGTTAAGAGCATGTAGTCTAATTGATGCTGGGGTGGTAAGAGCATGTAGTCTAAATGATACTGGGGTGGTAAGAGCATGTAGTCTAATTGATACTGGGGTGTTAAGAGCATGTAGTCTAATTGATACTGGGGTGTTAAGAGCATGTAGTTTAAATGATGGTGGAGTGTTAAGAGCATGTTGTCTAAATGATGCTAGGGTGTTAAGAGCATGTCGTTTAAATGATGCTAGGGTGTTAAGAGCATGAAGTCTAAATGATGCGAGTGTGTTAAGAGCATGTAGACTAAATGATACTGGGGTGTTAAGATCATGTAGTCTAAATGATGCTAGGGCATGTTAAGGGCATGAAGTCTAATGATGCTGGGGAGCTAAGAGCATGAAGTCTAAATGATGCTAGGGTGTTAAGAGCATGTAGTCTAAATGATGCTAGGGTGGTAAGAGCATGTAGTCTAAGGTGCTGGGGTCTTAAGAGCACGTAGCCTAAATGATGCTAGGGTGTTAAGAGCATGTGGTCTAAATGATACTAGTGTGTATAATGATCTTTGGTAGTAAGGGCTTGTAGTCTAAATGATTCTTGGTGGTAAGAGCTTGTAGTCTTAATGAAGCTGGGGTGGTAAGAGCATGTAATTTAATGATACTAGTGTGTATAATGATGCATGAATGAACTTTCAAAGCCATAATATTGCTATGTATGGAAAGTTCCGCCATTTGGTACGATGATCGGAAGATCAGAAGACCTCTTTCCTATCTCTTTTAGATATATATATTCTATGTCTAGAATGCCATCATTTCTTGTCCAAATTCGATTCCAGTCCGTAGAAACAAAAAACGATTTCAGACCACAACCAATTTTTCCAAATCATGAAGTATGCAATTGAGAACAAACGAAAAATGTTAATATTACATTCGAAATCGTTTTCGAAATTCATAATATCTTTTATCAGCAGATATTTACAAGAACTCCGCCATTTGATATAAAGAAAAATAAGGCTACAAATAAGGATATATCAATAAACCGGATACGAAATGATCCTTACGCATGCGTAAAGCTTTAGTTTCTTTTTATCTTAATAATAAAAACATTCCATGAACTTTGATCTGAAATATATTGGACTTTTAGATAACTTCATTTCTTTTGAATCTTTTTGAATTGAAGGGTAAACATTTTTTTACATTATGGGGCGAAAGGTTTTTGTAATTGGTGTCGGAATGACCAAGTTTGAAAAGCCAGGCAGACGTGAAAATTTCGACTATCCAGAAATGGCTAAAGAAGCAGGGACGAAAGCACTTCAAGATGCAGGAGTGTCGTATAATGAAATCAACCAGGCTTGTGTCGGCTACGTTTATGGTGATACAACTTGCGGTCAAAGGGCTTTGTATCAGCTAGGTCTGACTGGAATACCAATTTACAATGTCAACAATGCCTGTTCCACCGGCTCCACAGCTCTCTTGATGGGTAAAAATTTAATTGAGGGTGGAATGGCAGAGTGTGTGCTGTGTTTAGGTTTTGAGAAAATGGAGCGAGGTTCATTACAGTTCAAATATACTGATAGAACAAGTCCTATGGATAAACATGTCGAAGTGATGACCCAACTGAGAGATTTTGAATCCGGGCCTATTACAGCTCAGATGTTTGGAAATGCCGGCCGTGAACATATGGAGAAATATTCCACCAAACCAGAACATTTTGCAAAAATTGCCTACAAAAATCATAAACATTCCGTTAACAATCCTTATTCCCAGTTCAGAGACGAATACACGCTAGACCAAGTTAAGGCAGCACCAAAAATCCACGAGCCATTGACCAAATTACAGTGCTGTCCAACATCAGATGGTTCCGCTTGTGCCATATTGGCCAGTCAAGATTTCGTGGAGAAGCATAACCTACAGAGTCAGGCGGTTGAAATTGTTGCTATGGAAATGGCTACAGATTTACCCAGTGTGTTCCAAGATAGAAGTTGTATGCAAATTGTTGGTTATGATATGTCAAAACTAGCTGCTGACAAGGCATTCGCTAAAGCAGGTTTTGAGAGAAATGCTGTTGATGTTATTGAATTACACGATTGTTTCTCAGCCAATGAATTAATAACCTATGAAGCCCTAGGCTTGTGTGAACCAGGAAAAGCTGGAGAATTCATCGACAGGGGAGATAATACCTATGGTGGAAAGTATGTTGTCAATCCTAGTGGTGGTCTATTGTCTAAAGGTCACCCATTGGGAGCTACAGGATTAGCCCAGTGTGCTGAACTCTCCTGGCAGCTACGAGGCCAAGCAGATAAACGCCAGGTGAAAGGAGCAAAAGTTGGATTACAACATAATATTGGTCTAGGTGGAGCTGCAGTTGTATCATTATATCGTCTTGGTTACCCAAGGGAAAATCGTTTACAAGCTGCCAATGTCAGTGCTAGCTCTGAAAACGATTTCAAATCAAAAGAAGTTTTCAAAGAGATTGGAAGTCATTTAGAAAAAGATGGAGCAAATATTGTGAAGAAAATGAATGGTATATTTTGCTTTAATGTTAAAAATGGTGCAGGGCAGACAGGAACTTGGTATGTAGATGCTAAAAATGGAAAAGGGTCGGTTACTTTTGGTGGGGACAAGAAAGCTGATGTTACATTGTCAATGAATGATGATGACCTATTAAAATTGATGACTGGTAAACTGAATCCACAGACAGCTTTCTTTCAAGGAAAATTAAAATTTAAAGGCAACATGGCACTGGCTATGAAATTAAAAGAAATTCAGCCAAAAGCTGGCAACTCTAAACTTTAAGCTTTATTTAAATTATGTTTCGCAAATCAGTATTTTATTAACTTTGTGTGCTTCAGTGTAATTTCTATATTTTACGACAACTTTAATTTGTAAGACTGGGGACCAGGTGTAACCCTCATAAAAATAAACAGAACAAAATTCCAGCTTCTACAGATTCAGACTTTTTATATTGTTGATTATTTTTGTAAACCTTTTACTCAAGATCTATTTGTGTAGTTAGCAAGTCAGGGCCTTGTTTCTAATGGAACACCTGATCACTCTGCAACTCGGTGTGTCAACTCTGCATCACTTTTTGAGGATCCACATAATTAAGGATGTCTATTTGGTATTCTTGCTTTACATCTTTCATACTTGTTAATTGAAAAACATATTAAGAGATGAATTGTTCATGTTAGTGTAATAATATTAACCAGGTGTGTTCTAATATTTTTGTTGAATGATATGCTTGATGACTTTGATTCTTCATATTGTAAATAAAATTATTTATCATGTATTTGTGTGGTATTTTACAGAATTTTGATGTGTTGTTTCAAATACATTAAAAACAGCACATAGATCTGATTTGTTTAACTAGGTCAAACCTAGTGGTATTTCTATGGAATTGAATCAGACCATTAGCCAGACTTGATTGTTTCGAGGGTCAAGTAATACATTTGAAGGGACAATGGTGTATGGTATTTAGTTGCATTAATGGAATTAGTCGGTTGTCAAACGGGAGGGGGAGGGGAGGCCAGGAATGAGAGTTAAATGTCCTCAGTTTTGTCCCCACCCGGAACACAATTGGGCCGGGCAAGAAGTTTAGTATGGGTTCAGATGAAATATCTTTTTACAGGGGGTCACATCCTCATCTTAAGTACCTCCTTGTTTTGATTCTAATACCCCCGCCCCCATATTAAACTACCCCCCACTGGGCAAATAAGTGCCTACCCTGCCACCCCTCACAATGCATGCCTCTCTCCCAAGATAGGCCACCTCAATACCTCCATAAAGAAGTCATTTCATTCAACCAAAAATATCAACACTGTTCTTGAAGGGGTTAATCTAATAACCCTTTATACGACCTCGTTATTAAAGTGAACCCTTTATACGACCTCGTTAATAAAGTGAACCCTTTATACGACCTCGTTAATAAAGTGAACCCTTTATACGACCTCGTTATTAAAGTGAACCCTTTATACGACCTCGTTATTAAAGTGAACCCTTTATACGAACTCGTTATTAAAGTGATCCCTTTATACGACCTCGTTATTAAAGTGATCCCTTTGTACGACCTCGTTATTAAAGTGATCCTTTTATGTAGGTAAAATTGATTTCTATATTTTACAATAGATAAAAATCTTCAAGCAAAAGAAATTTATTAGATTAATATTACAAGCTCAATTGCAACTAAATACAAGATTTTAGAAGGAAAATACGACACCTAGTGTGTCTACAATAAGAAATAGAAAACAGTAGAAACAAAGAAAATATCAGAAATAATAAAATATGCCAATTTTAGTTACAGTTTGAAAACTTATTAAACTGTCACTACTGGTATAATATAGAGTGGAGGGTAAGGTGTTTAAGGGTTTGGTCATATCTCAATATTCCTATAGCTCTAACAAGTTATCTCTGCTACTGTTCAATCATTTCCCTGGCTAAATTTAACGGCAGGTATCTCACTGTATCCGATGTCGAACAAGCTTTCTTTTCTACTATCCAACCTAAATCATATTCAAAATTATTGGCAGGTACATTACTGTATTCAATGTCAAACAAATGACAAATCCGTCCATAATACGAAAGTGTTTTACTTCCCCTCAACGATATAAATAACTTTACACATCCCTCCAAATTGATATTTGATGCCACAAATTTATATGGTTTTGAGAACAGAATACAGAGGAATGTCATGTCTGCACCAAAATTATATCTGCGTGTCCAAGTTGCGGTACAGTTGTTACTCTTCTGGCATAATGATCTACATTCGCCTTCGGATTTAGTATAAGCTGAATTCGAAAGTGGATATTTCAAGACTCTGCCTCGTTTAATGTAAAAACAATCTGAAATAAATACCATATTCACATATAATTTGTTATACTCAAAGATTACACTCTAGATGTTTTATCTTGTGTGTTTTACTACTGTCGTTCCCCATCTTTAATAGTACCCTCATCTTCACAATGTCAAACTATTGCGAACAAGAAAGGTAGCTATTGTAGTCAAGGTATAAGTCAATTCACAATATCCTGATCGGCTTTTTTGTAGGTTGAAATTTATTTTGCTCAAATTTTTGAAAATCTAGAGAAATGTGTCCCTTTACGTATCTGAAATTTTCAAGTAAAAAGATCGCAGAATCTTGGCGTTGAACGCGTTCAAAATAAACGCCGTGACTTGACGAATGAACACAATTGCACGATGTCTGGTGTTTCCTATACGCTAAAATCACGCTCAGTAGTAGTAGCGCAGTAAGAAGCTTGCCGATGTGACGGGGCCATTAACGAGAATAGTTCAAAAGAAATTAGATCATGCACAATAACTGCCCATCCCACATATGCGTCTCTAGGTTATAGATGAATAATTTTACCTTCATTTTCTCCGTCAACAGCTTCTCTGGTGCGTAAATTAGGTTTAGGGCTGGCAACGTGTAAAGAAGCAACACACAGTAAAACAATTACCAACATCAAATTAGATATGACAGTCATTTTGTCTTCTTGATAGAGTTGTGAGTAGAGAAGGTAAGTTGGTATGGGTTTATATAGAAGAGAAGAGAAACGTGGCAAGCAAAAATTAATCGTTAAAGTAGCTCTTTTTGGGTTTGAGTAAAAAAAATAAAAACTGCATTAGTCCGAAACATCTGCCTCTATTCCAGTTTCTGATGGATATTTCGACAGTTGTCAGCTAAAGTCCGAAACATCTGCCACTTTTTGAGTTTCTGATGGATATTTTGACAGTTGTCAGCTGGAGTAGAGTCAGAAGAAAAAGACCCTGTCAAATGGGGATTTTCCACACCTCCGAAGATTATAGAATTACCTTTAAGATGATTGTAAATTAGTGTTGGGCATCACTGTTACTTTTGTTTTGTTAGTATCACGAGACTCTGTGACCTTTGAACTTTTGGCAGTTTTAAATTGCTGATGCTAGATCAGTTTCACAACAAATAAAAACTTTGATGGAATCGGAGACATGGCATAAATGGTGTAAGGAGAAAATGATGGTATGACTGAACTACAAAAATATTCATCTTTCCAAATATACCTGGGTTATGCAGATCCGATTAAAATAGGTTTAAAACCACCGCACCTGGGGAGATCCGGAATGTTATTTCTGTCTCTACACCAGCTGACACCTGTCAAAATAGCCATCAGAGGCTGGGATAGAAACAGATGTTTCGGTCTAAAACTGCATATGAAGTCTATACTGGCAAGTTAAATTTGGAAGAAAAACCCGCACTTTGATGTTGATATAAAATACATTCTGTAAGTCGGAACTGAACTAACTTCACTTAGTACTGATGGTACACAAGGTCAGTAGCGTGATGACCATCATGTGCGTTGACAACTGCCACACAACGACTCTGAATGGACTTTGTGAAACTTGTAAACAGTTGATTAAGGAAACGCTATTGTCGATGCAAAAGATTGCCAAGATTTTGCAAATTCTGTGGTTGGTTCTGGCAAGTACGCAGTGCGCTCTCTCTCTGTTGGTTTGAGCAAAAAGAATACAAACTGCGTAGACAGTTTGAATTGACACGGTTAGCTTTTTATACACCCACATGGAAATGTACGTACGTTGATCCGTCGATCCGTCAACATTTCTTGTGAACACAATAGAGACAACAGTTTTTATCTGATTTTAATGAAACTTGACATGATAATGTATACTGATGAGATCTTGGTCAAGTTTGAATTCGATAATTTTTCGATGAACAGCTTTTCAGTTATTGCCCTCGTCAAAATGTGTTTGTGAACATAATAGAGACTACACTAGACTTAGATATAATGCTTCAAAATTTGTTCATGAGATCTTGGTCATGTTGGAATTTATCGGTCTCTCGATGAATGGTTTTTGAGTTATTGCCTCTGATTTAGGAAAAACGCGTCAAAATTTGTTTGTGAACATAATAGAGACTACGGTTTTCAACTGATTTCAATGAAATTTGGTATGATCATTTATATTGATGAGATCTTTGACAAGTTCGTATTTGACAATATTTCGATGAACGTCTTTTGAGTTATTGCCCTTGACTTTGGAAAACCTCATCAAAATATGTTTAAGAACGCAATAAAGACTACCGTTTTCAACTGATTTTATGAAATTTGGTGGGATCATATATATTAATGAGATGCTGGTCAAGTTCAAATGTGACAGTCTTTCGATGAACGGTTTATGAGTTATTGCCCTTGACTTTGGAAAAACGCGTCAAAATATGGCAGTGAGCTCATTAGGGACTTGTGTTCATCTGATTTAAATGAAATATGGTGTGATCATTTATATTGATAATATCTTGGTCAAGTTCAAATTTGACGATTTTTCGATGAGATTTTTTTTAGTTATAGCCCTTAACTTAGATAAATGCTTCAAAATTTGTTCATGAGCACATAAGCCTTTTATTTATATTGATGAGATCTTGGTCATGTTTTAATTTTCAACAATGATATTATATGTATTTGGGTTATTGATATTGATTTAAAAAAAATTGTGGAATTTCTCTTTAATATGAGAATATTCATATTTTAGTCACTAAAGACTGTTTATCATTTCTGACATCTGCCAGTGGGCGTATGTTATACCTTGCCTGGTGAGCTATCTCTGTTCATTGCCACAGAACCACACAACGGATTGTAATTCAGAAAAATCTCAATGAGATTCAAATTGGTCAATAATGACCCCACTGCCAAGAGTCACCCACCCTGCAAAATGCTTTATCAAAAAAGGCCCCTCGTCATGAATGACGTCATATTTACTTAGTTTTATTGGAATTGCAGAGACCTCAGACCTCTGGTTGAAAATTGGAATGCCACAAATTGATGCTAGCAATGTCCCTGATACACATATAAAAATTTAGAAAACCTATTTACAATCCCATTTATAATTTAATCAATGGTAAGGAAAATGCTTATTTGGATTTGATAGAACAGATACGCCAATATTTTGGTCACAGATTGCGTAATATTTAGTTCATCTGTTATCTATCTTGAATATAGATCTGATAAGATGTAAAACATCAGATATTAGAGTCAGTTATAATCAGTCTAGTATAATAACTATCAGAGACTAGGTAAGAGTCAGTTAGTTTCAGACTAGTATAATATCTATCAGAGACAAGGTAGGAGTCAGTTAGTTTCAGACTAGTATAATAACTATCAGAGACTAGGTAAGAGTCAGTTAGTTTCAGACTAGTATAATATCTATCAGAGACAAGGTAGGAGTCAGCCAGTTTCAGACTAGTATAATATCTATCAGAGACTAGGTAAGAGTCAGTTAGTTTCAGACTAGTATAATAACTATCAGAGACTAGGTAAGAGTCAGTTAGTTTCAGACTAGTATAATATCTATCAGAGACAAGGTAGGAGTCAGCTAGTTTCAGACTAGTATAATATCTATCAGAGACTAGGTAAGAGACAGTTAGTTTCAGACTAGTATAATAACTATCAGAGACTAGGTAAGAGTCAGCTAGTTTCAGACTAGTATAATATCTATCAGAGACTAGGTAAGAGTCAGTTAGTTTCAGACTAGTATAATATCTATCAGAGACTAGGTAAGAGTCAGCTAGTTTCAGACTAGTATAATATCTATCAGAGACTAGGTAAGAGTCGGCTAGTTTCAAACTAGTATAATATCTATCAGAGACTAGGTAAGAGTCAGCTAGTTTCAGACTAGTATAATAGCTATCAGAGACTAGGTAAGAGTCAGATAGTTTCAGACTAGTATAATATCTATCAGAGACTAGGTAAGAGTCAGCTAGTTTCAGACTAGTATAATAACTATCAGAGACTAGGTAAGAGTCAGATAGTTTCAGACTAGTATAATATTTATCAGAGACTACGTAAGAGTCAGCTAGTTTCAGACTAGTATAATATCTATTAGAGACTAGGTAAGAGTCAGATAGTTTCAGACTAGTATAATATCTATCAGAGACTAGATAAGAGTCAGATAGTTTCAGACTAGTATAATGTCTATCAGAGACTAGGTAAGAGTCAGATAGTTTCAGACTAGTATAATTACTATCAGAGACAAGGTAAGAGTCAGTTAGTTTCAGACTAGTATAATATCTATCAGAGACAAGGTAGGAGTCAGTTAGTTTCAGACTAGTATAATATCTATCAGAGACTAGGTAAGAGTCAGTTAGTTTCAGACTAGTATAATAACTATCAGAGACTAGGTAAGAGTCAGTTAGTTTCAGACTAGTATAATATCTATCAGAGACAAGGTAGGAGTCAGCTAGTTTCAGACTAGTATAATAACTATCAGAGACTAGGTAGGAGTCAGCTAGTTTCAGACTAATATAATAACTATCAGAGACTAGGTAAGAGTCAGTTAGTTTCAGACTAGTATACTATCTATCAGAGACTAGGTAAGAGTCAGTTAGTTTCAGACTAGTATAATAACTATCAGAGACTAGGTAAGAGACAGTCAGTTTCAGACTAGTATAATATCTATCTGAGACAAGGTAAGAGTCAGCTAGTTTCAGACTAGTATAATAACTATCAGAGACTAGGTAAGAGTCAGTCAGTTTCAGACTAGTATAATATCCATCTGAGACTAGGTAAGAGTCAGTTAGTTTCAGACTAGTATAATATCTATCAGAGACTGGGTAAGAGTCAGCTAGTTTCAGACTAGTATAATATCTATCAGAGACTAGGTAAGAGTCAGTTAGTTTCAGACTAGTATAATAACTATCAGAGACTAGGTAAGAGTCAGCTAGTTTCAGACTAGTATAATATCTATCAGAGACTAGGTAAGAGTCAGTTAGTTTCAGACTAGTATAATATCTATCAGAGACTAGGTAAGAGTCAGCTAGTTTCAGACTAGTATAATATCTATCAGAGACTAGGTAAGAGTCGGCTAGTTTCAAACTAGTATAATATCTATCAGAGACTAGGTAAGAGTCAGCTAGTTTCAGACTAGTATAATAGCTATCAGAGACTAGGTAAGAGTCAGATAGTTTCAGACTAGTATAATATCTATCAGAGACTAGGTAAGAGTCAGCTAGTTTCAGACTAGTATAATAACTATCAGAGACTAGGTAAGAGACAGTTAGTTTCAGACTAGTATAATATCTATCAGAGACTAGGTAAGAGTCAGCTAGTTTCAGACTAGTATAATATCTATCAGAGACTGGGTAAGAGTCAGCTAGTTTCAGACTAGTATAATATCTATCAGAGACTAGGTAAGAGTCAGCTAGTTTCAGACTAGTATGATATCTATCAGAGACTGGGTAAGAGTCAGCTAGTTTCAGACTAGTATAATATCTATCAGAGACTAGGTAAGAGTCAGCTAGTTTCAGACTAGTATAATATCTATCAGAGACTAGGTAAGAGTCAGCTAGTTTCAGACTAGTATAATATCTATCAGAGACTAGGTAAGAGTC